AACAGCCAAAGCTGGGCTGATCCAAACCCAGGAGCCATGAGCTTCTTCCAGGTCTCCTATGTGGGTGCAGGGGCCCAAGCACTTGACCCATCTTTTACTGCTTTCCCAGGCCACAGCAGAGAGCTGGATTGGAAGAGGACCAGCTGGGACAAGAACCAGAGCCCATATGGGATGCCAGCACTGCAGACAGAGGATTAACCTACTGTGCCACAGCGCCAGCCTCCGCCAACTGTTTCGAGTACAGTAGGGATGTGATCTGACTCAGATGTTCCCAGGCACCCTCTGGCTGCAGAGGGAAAGAAGATGGAGTCAGAGTGAGAGGAGGGAGGCCCGTAAGGATTTGATTTTAAATTGGCTGAATGCAGGTGGTGACTTGGCCAGAGTGCTGATTGTGGAGCTGGAAGAAGTGGTTAGATTTTGGTTCTGATTTTTTAACTTTAAGATGTGGAAAGTGAGAGAAAGAGGGGGAGGAGGTAGGGATGGCTCCATGGAAATTGACCTCAGCAACTAGCAGCTGGCCTGCAGTCCAGAGACGGGGAGTCAGTGGGTGGGCAGGTTTCAGAGACCAGGAGGTGGATTTTGGCTGTGTGAGTCTGAGATGTCCTGGAGACTCTGGAGTGGAGGTGTCAGATGGGTTGCTGGACATGCAGGTCTGAGTTCTGCTGAGGGACTCAGCTTGTAGGTGTTTGGTTTGTGGCAACCAGGCTATAACAGAGGTTAGGAGAGGGCGTCTTACGTCAGCAATGGATTCCCTGTGGGAGCACGTGAGGCTAGGTGACTGGCCTGGGCATCTGGTCATGGGTTGTGTATATTACAAAGTCAGATAAAGGAAGTAACAGCCTCAAGGGAAGGTAAGTGGAAAAGAGGGGTCCAGAGCTGGCATTGTGGTGTAGTGGGTGAAGCCACCACCTGCAACACCAGCATCCCATATGGGCACCAGTTCAAGTCCCAGCTGCTCTACTTCCAACCCATCTCCCTGCTTAATGCTCCTGGGAAAGCAGCAGCAGATGGCCTGAGTACCTGGGCCCCTGTACCCGTGTGGGAGACCCAGGAGGAAATTCTTATTGTGGCCATGTTGGGGGGAGGTGAGCCAGCAGATGGAAGATCTCTGTCTTTTCCTCTCTGTAACTCTGCCTTTCAAATGGATGGATAAACCTTAAAAAAAAAAAAAAAAAAAAAAAGGAGGGAGGGAGGGAGAAAAGAAGAAATAGAAGGAAGGCCAGAAGGTGATTAAGGTCCCCAAGGAGGCGGCTGGGACAAACTGAGGTGGAGGTAGGATGACAGTGGGGCTGGGACTTGTGTTTATTGACCCCTCTAGAAAGAGGTCCAGTCACAAGCAGCAAACCACTACTCAGCTGCTTCAGGAAAGCCCCGCTCTCGCCTCTGCGACACCCAGTGAGGATGAGGAGAATGGCCCAAGTGGCGATGCTGGCCCCAGTTTCCTCACGTGATGACTGAGGGCCTTTTTGCTGTGGCTCAGCAGCTTTCAAGGCACATCTTCGGTGGGATAGTGTGTGGGCATTTTGCCAAACTTAATGACCTTGCTGCCACCATTCTTGTCACCACCAGCTGGTTTTGTGAAACCAGCAAGAACCTTCTTTTCAATCCTGAATTTGGGAGCCACGTGCTTCCTCTTATACAGGGCTTCCCTGGGATCCATGGCTGACTGGGAGTATCTGCCAGTCCCTCTCGCCAGGACAGGTTTCGGTGCAGTGGGGCTTCCCCTTTGTCTTTTTATCCTTGAGTTTCTTCTTTTTAGCTCTGCATTATCCACCTTCTTGGCTGGAGATTTCTTCTTAGTGTCTGGCTTTGGAGCTGGAGCTTTTTCACCCTCCATCTTACAAGATCTTTATGGACTTTTAAAGCGAATACTTACCAGTTATATCTTTGCTGGTGTACTTTGGTTTTACTTTTGGTTGATTTGGTATAGAACCATGACAGGAATGTAACATCCCATTCTACCTTGCCCGTTATGATAGTTCTTTTTTCCTCAGGGATTGGGGCCGAAGTCCACAAGGGGTGACTTTCTGAAATCAAGCCCCGTCAAATGTTAATATATAAAAGCTACGCCTATTCATTTGTAGTTGTAATCAATTATAAAAGATGTATAAATACAAAACTTAAAACAAAAATGCAACATCTGACATATTTATTAGGTAATTATACGTATTGTTAAAACAAAAAGTTACCTGCATTGAATATTGACCCCTCTATAAGATCACAGATTTTTCTTGGCTGTTTATGTGGGCCTGGGGTTTTAGTTAGATTGGCACAGTACATCAGTGCAGACAGGGTCCATTAGGAGAGTTATAAGCGTCCAGGCTTGGGGCAGGGAGTGGTAGAGATTGGCTTTGAATATGCATTAAGAGGTATACTGTGGTGGCCGGTGCTGTGGTGTAGCAGATAAAGCCACCACCTGTCCCATATGGGCGCTGGTTTGAGTCCCAGCTGCTCCACTTCTGATCCAGCTCTCTGTGATGGCCTGGGAGAGCAGTGGAGGATGGCCCAGGTGCTTGTGCCCCTGCACCCATGTGGGAGAGCTCCTGGCTTTGGATCGGTGCAACTCTGGCCATTGCAGCTTTCTAGGGGAGTGAACCAGTGGATGGAAGACCTCTCTCTTTCTCTCTGCCTTTCACATAAATAAATAATTTTCTTTTTTTAAAGAGGTATACTGTGGCTGAGAAGCCTGCGGGTCCTAAAGATCTGTGTGTGGCTCTGGAAAACAGGGTTGAATGTATGAGCAGGACCAAGTGGAAATCCATGAAGAAGAGGCTGAGTGCTGCCTCTCCTGACAGTTGGGACTTTCAGAGGTCTGGTGCAGGAGCAGCCAGGCTCTGGACGCTGTTTGCAGAGGCGTGTGGAAAGGCAGGGAAGTGCTGGTTGTGTGGGGTCTGGAGATGGAAGGTTCAATGAGTGATGTGCATATCAGAAAAAGTGTGAACCAGTGGGTCAGAACCTAAATAAAGAAGGTGAGCACCAGCTTGGTGTTTCTGGAGACAGAATTGGGGGACCCAGAACTTAGGTATCATCTATCTGTCCACCTGCCTGTTTTTGAGGGGCAGGTCAATGGGACATTTTCCATTTTTTCTGCCATCTGTTGGTCTGGTTGACTTAGCTGTCACCATCATGGCAGGGCCAGGTGACCTTTGAGGACGTGTTCGTGCACTTCTCCTGGGAGGACTGGGGGCTCCTGGATGAGGCTCAGAAGCACCTGTACCGTGATGTGATGCTGGAGAACTTTGCGCTTGTGGCCTCTCTGGGTAAGGACCCACCCCAGCATCCTTTCCCGTTTTTCCCAAGAGCAGCTGTTTTCCCACAGCTGGAGCATGGGAGCTGTGGACTGACTGCTTTGTGTGTGGAGCATGACCTCCTCTTCTCCCTGAGAAGTCCTGACGCTGTCTGCACTGCAGGGAAGCACCCAGGGTCAGCTGCCCGAGTCTGTCCATGGCAATGGCACCTCTGTTCTACAGGGTGTCCCCCCCGCCACTTTTTCTTTTAATCAAACATTTCCAGGAGCCTGACTATGCCGGGGACCATGGGCACCAACATGGTCACTGCTTGTGGGGACCATTGTGCTGTTCTTGTGAGGTGCTCCTCAAAGGTTTATTTCTAACAGTGAGTTTTCTTCCCATTTGCAAAAATGAGATGAGTTCTCTTTGGTCGGTCATCACGTGGGTTGCCCTGCTTTAGGGCCAGCCAATTACCTGTTCTACTTTTTTCTTTTTTTGTCAGGCAGAGTTAGACAGTGAGAGAGAGAGAGAGACAGAGAGAAAGGTCTTCCTTTTTCTGTTGGTTCACCCCACTAAGTGGCTACTACGGCCGGTGTGTTGCGGCCGGTGTGCTGCGCTGATCCGAAGCCAGGAGCCAGGTCTTTCCTCCTGGTCTCCCACGCGGGTGCAGGGCCCAAGGACCTGGGCCATCCTCCACTGCTCCCGGGCCACAGCAGAGTGCTGGACTGGAAGAGGAGCAACTGGGACAGAATCTGGCGCCCCGACCGGGACTAGAACCCGGGGTGCCGGCGCCACAGGCAGAGGATTAGCCTAGTGAGCCGCGGCGCTGGTCATGTTCTACTTTTTTCTTAGGTCTTGTATCTTCCAAATCCTTTGTGGTTGCCTACCTGGAGCAGGGTAAAGTGCCTTGGGTACCCGACAGGGTAAATCTGTGTCCAGTCACAAGAGAGGCCAAATGGGAGCCTAGACTTGGTGAGTGGAGCTGGTGGCATGGGTTATATCAGGGTTAAAGTTCCATTATGTGAGAAATGTGTTCTGCATCCACCAAGAGCCCATTTCACCTTCTTGCCATTTCTGCTTTGACTTTTTGCCCCGTGGATGGTGGATGATCCTACTGCCCTGACCTCCATGTCTTCTCTGGTCCCCTCCACTATTCCTTTGTAGGCTTGCCTGCATTAACCTACAATGGCATTAGCCTACACTTACTATGGATTGTGCACTTATCTTTATGTAGATTCTGAGAACCAGATGCCCAGTTGCAGCTGGACTTTCCTGGGTTTGTGCTCACCCCGAGATTTCCTCTTGCTATCAGAGGTCTTCTTGAGCTGCCTGTATCAGGTCCTGCTGAGAGCTGAGGTGTGAGTTGGAGTCCCTGCCTCTTCTCCTTGCCTGACCCTATCCCGTGTTCTCCCATCTGGTGAGTGCCCTCCTTCTGTGCCTACGCAGGCCCAGCCCTGCACTGCTAGATCTTGCTTACCCTGCCTTCATTCCTGCATACGTCAGGCACATCTGTGAAGAGGCTGGCCCCTTCCAATAAAGTCCATGTGTACTTTTTCACCAGCACTTCTGTGCTTTCAGGTTGCTGGCCTGGAGCAGACGAAGCTTCTCCCAAGCAGAGTGTTTCTGTAGAAGGAGTGTTCCAGTTTGGGGCACCCGAGGCAGGTCCTTCTACCCAGTATGCCAATATCTGTGACATGTGTGACCTAATCTTGAAAGATACTTTGGACATGGCTGAGCACCAGGTACCATACCCTGGGCACAAACCCTACATGTGTGAGTCATGTGTGAGAGGCTTCTGGATCAGCATGAAGCTTCAGCAGCCCCAGAAAGAACACAGTGGCAAGAAGCCCTTCAAGGGCCAAGGTGGTGGGAAGAACGTCCTGGATAGCCACAGCCAGGCCACCACCAGAGAGGGGAAGCTACATGGAAGCACTGCACATAGGGCAGCCTTTCCACCCAGCTGCAGTCTTGAGCAGGTCACACAGAAGCCTTTCAAGTGCAGTGAGTGTGGGAGGGCCTTCCTGAAGGCCTTTGCTCTCCTTGACCACCTGATAACTCACTCTGAAGAGAGACGCTTCAGATGCCCCACAGGTGGAAATGCCCCCAGGGAGAACTCAATCCATGTTAATCACCAAAAATTACATACTGGGGAAGCATCGCATGTGTGTAAGGAATGTGGGAAGGCCTTTAGCCACCTGTTTAAACTGAGGTTGCATCAGAAAATTCACGCTGGGAAAATACATCATAGTTGCTGTGAACGCGGGAAAGGCTTTACCCGCAAACACTCGCTAGTTCAGCACCAGAGAGTCCACACTGGAGAAAGGCCTTATAAGTGTGTCAGTGTGGCAAAGCCTTCACTTGCAGTTTCCACATTGTTCGGCACCAGAAAGTTCACAACACAGAAAGGCCACATGAATGCAGACAGTGCCGCGAGTCTTTAGCTGTATTTCCAGCTTCACTGAGCACCAGAAAATACACAATGGAGAAGGACCGTATGAATGCAGGGAATGTGGGAAGGCCTTCATTAACAGCTCTCATCTTGTTCAACAACAGAAAGTTCATAACACAGAAAGGCCTTTTGAGTGCAGAGAATGTGGGAAAGCCTTATGGCAAACGTCCAAACTTGTTCTGCACCCAAGGAGCCATACTGGGGAAAGACCTTGTAAGTGCAACCACTGTGGGAAGGCCTTCAGTTGCCTCTAACCTTGTTCCACACCAGCGAATTCATACTGGAGAAAAGCCTTACAAATGCTCAGCGTGTGGGAAAGCCTTCAGTCAAAGCTCTGCCCTCATTCAGCACCAGAAAGTTCATACTCGAGAAAGACCTTATGAGTGCAATGAATGTGGGAAAGCCTTCAGCTGTAGTTCTAACCCTGTTAAGCACCGGAGGTTCACACTGGAAAGAGGCCTTATGAGTGCAGCCAGTGTGGGAAATCCTTCAGTGAAAGCTCCATCCTCAATCAGCACCAGAGAGTTCACACTGGAGAAAAGCCTTATGAGTGCAACAGATTTGGAAAAGCTTTCCGCTACAGCTCTAACCGTTCTCAGCACCAGAAAAGTCATGCTGGACTAGGGCCACCTAAATACAGGAGGTAGGAGAATGCCTGCAGCCAAAGCCAGTCTTACCCAGCACCTGGTCAGTGTGGGAAAGGATTTAGCTGGAGCTTCTCCTTATTAACCATAAAAGAACTCGTGAGAACACTTCTGTGGAAGGAATCTTTGTGAAGCAGCAGCCAAAAATGGAATCTTGTGTGCCACAGCACCCCTGGGGAGACTAACCTGTGAGTGTCAGGTATATGGAAGCTTTCAGCACTAGGTCACATCTTTCATCCTGTCTAGTGCGTTTGTCAGATTATACCACTGCCGGCTACAATCTCACTTCTACCAGCTGGCAGGCCTCCAGTGTACTTGTCATACTCAGGGAAGTCAGACCTCTGAACTCTCTCATGTGGCAGAAAGAACTACGAGTGGTGGGCACCTTTTGGGGTCATCTCATTTTCACCTTTCCCCTTTCTCCAGTGCTTTGGCATTGCCCTAACCTAGTTTTCAACGAGGCTGTGGACTTCCAGGAATTTCCCTTTTTCTTGGTCCTTGTTGAGCTTGACACCTGCAGTGCACTTGTTGAGCCTTAATGTCACCCAGCTTTGGAACTGCCTGCCTCCAGTGTGTGACAATAAAGGCCTCGCTGGGGGCTGGCACTGTGGCACACAAGATTAAGCACAGCTTGCCACACTGGCATCCCAAATTGGAGCAATGGTTCGAGGACTGGTTGCTCTGCTTCTGATCTAACTTCCTGCTAATGTTCCTGGGAAAGCAGCAGATGATGGCTTAAGTGCTTGAGCCCCTGTCACCCAAATTTGTCACATGTGATAGTGAACTTGGTCACAGGAGACTCAGCTCTGCAGAACCTGAGAGGTCTTGCACAACCATGTTCTTAAGAACAAATGCAAGGCCGGCGCTGCGGCTCAACAGGCTAATCCTCCGCCTAGTGGCACCGGCACACCGGGTTCTAGTCCCGGTCGGGGCGCCAGATTCTGTTCCGGTTGCCCCTCTTCCAGGCCAGCTCTCTGCTGTGGCCCGGGAGTGCAGTGGAGGATGGCCCAAGTGCTTGGGCCCTACACCCCATGGGAGACCAGGAGAAGCACCTGGCTCCTGCCTCCAGATCAGCACGGTGCGCCGGCCGCGGCGGCCATTGGAGGGTGAGCCAACGGCAAAGGAAGACCTTTCTCCCTGTCTCTCTCTCTCTCACTGTCCACTCTGCCAGTAAAAAAAAAAAAAAAAAAAAAAAAAAAAATGCAAGCGCCTCTTTAGAGTGGGCAGCATGCTGGGCACCGGCAGAGCAGATAATCTGAAGATTCGGTGCCCTGCAACACCTCTGGGGTGTTCATTTCAGGACCATCCTGTGTGGGCAGGAACTCCAGGACTGAGAGAAGGGGGATCCTCTAGTCCCGGAACGTGGCCATTACCTTCATCTGCTGGTTTTACTGCCCCTGAGGAAGAGCTGTCTCAGGGCACAAAAGACAGAGATGGTGGGATAAACATATGCTTGCCCCATTTTCTTGGTTCCCAAGGGATAGAGGCACATTTTTATGTGGAGGCCTTTGATTTTATAAATGTTGGCAACCATTCCTGAAAACTTCTATACAAAGTCGTCTCATAAGAACCCATGTACGTAGGTCTACACATGTGTTCCTGGGCCTGATAGTTCTGACTATCAGGAAGCAAATCAGGCCCAAAGGAGCCTTGTGATCTCCAGACATGCTACCCAATTTGGCTGAAAATGTCTACAGTGGCATGTAGCAGCATTAATGGCGCTGTTGCCACTTCATCCAGAACGACTCTCCCCCAGGATCTTGGAGTGGAGAGAGACGCTAACCTCCTTAAGACCAGCACCCAGGAAGGCCTGTGCTCAGCAAGCTTGTGGCAGGTCTGCATGAGTTCTTCCCAGAGTTCTGAGGTAGGAGGACAGCACCTAATCTCAGGCCATCCTTTTCCTTTCTGTTGTCCTCCACCCACATGGTAGGGCTGCTTGGGATGAGAAAGTTCAGTTGAGCCGCGTGGACTTCAAGGTAGGGCAGGTATTTGTTGCCAGAGCTCAGTTCTTTGAATCCTGAATGATGAGTTATAGGTAGGCCATGTAAAAGGATGCTGTCCCCATTGGTAAAGAATACCTGACTAGTCTTTATATTTGCTTTCAGGTCTTCTCAGTAGGGCTCTGTGCGAGGCATGTGGCCTGCCATGTGGGTGCATGTGTGAGTGGGTATATGTGCCAGAATGTCTGAAGCAAAGCTCACATGGCTCAAGACATCTATGAGTTGGGGCTGCTGACATTCATCTTGAATCTCAAAAGACCTTCCTGTGAACCGCCACATAGCAAAGCACTGTAGAGTGACTGCTGAAGACAGCCCTTTTGATATCACTTGAACCCCAGATCTTTGTAGTGCCTAAAGCCAGACGCCAAACGGACTTACTGGTTTCCATGAACCAACAGATAATGCCTTTTTGCTGAAACTCCTCAGAGTGAGGTATATGACACCTGGGAGAGTTCTCCCTTTGCAGCTGTGCCCACAACATCAGCCACCCCTTTTAGCTACTGGAGAAGCAGTACCAGAGTTGAACTGCTTAGAGCCCAGCCCAGAATTTTCTACCAGTTCCTTGGAAAAGGTCAGAAGTGATCCTGGATCTGGAAGACAGCAGCAGCAGCGGCTGCAGTGGGCTTAGATGCTGTCGAAGCTCCTTTCTTCTCAGTTGTCTTCCATGCATCCAAAATTCAGCCTCAGCCCATCTGACCCCTTATATCCCCGGTCTCCCTCACAGCAACTAACTTGATTTGTGGATTCCCATCCTACTTGGAAGAAAATGTAAACTTCCCCCAGCTTGCAAGGCTAGCATGATCTGGTTCCTCAAATGTACCTGCTTATTACTGCCTAGGGCATCTACAATGCAGTTGTTTCTGGGTGAAAAACTCTGTAGTCACCTTCTCAGAGAAGTCTTTCTGACTACTAATATGAATTGGCTTCCACTGCTCTCCGTTACCTCTCTGTTTTGTTTCTCTCAGTGCTCTATCAAAAATGACATCAGGAATTACCCTGCAATTTTCTCTGCTTATACACTATATCTCTATATTCCCCATTAGGAGACAACTCTAGGTGAAGGCCATGTGTGCTGTATCACCTCATGCCTTTGTTTACCAAAGGACTCAGCAAAGGGCCTGGCGAAAAGTGAGCACCTTCCCTGTGGGGAATCCTCCTTCACATCAGATCATACTCCATAACGTATCCTTTGCACTTAGGGAACCTGAGTCTGCTAATTCACTTATTTAACCCCTGCCAATTGAGCAACTATTGTGTGTTGGAGACTACACTACTATAGTAGTAAACAAAATACACAAAGACTCTCCTGTAGAGTTGACATTCTATTGAAGAGTCAAGTATTCATTGTGGGAGGGGGGAAGAAATCACACAAATATAAATTATAAAACTGCTCTCAGGCAAGATGGAGTGATAGGGACCAGATCTGCCCTTTCACCTGAAACAATAAAACAACCAGAAAAACAAGAAACAATGCTTTTCAAACACTGCAACAGACTGCATAGACCAGAGAACCCTGAGAAGGGAAATAAAAGATGAGCACTATGATTGCCTACAGCTACCTCCTGGAGAGTTTCTAGGCCATACCAGCACTGTGGCATACTGGGGAGAAAGCTGCTGCCTGCAGTGCTGGCATCCCGTATCTGAGCTGGTTAGAGTCCCTGCTGTTCCACTTCCGGTCCAACTCTCTGCTAATGGTCTGGGGAAGCAGTAGAAGATGACCCAATTTTCAGAGACAAAAGAAAACTTACCCAGAAGCTCCCCAGAAACTCCTACATCAAGCTCCTTGCTCACAGTAGGATCATTTCCTGCTAACCCAGCTATGATGCCATCACAATGGTACAGGATCACCACCCTCCCTTCAGAATAGTATAAGCAGGGAACACAGGGGCTGTTCACACTGAGCAACCGAAGACCACCAAACACAGGAGGGTTTCTGTCACAGGACCCAGTGCTGTGACACCTCTGTCAAAGCTCTCCAGTAGGTCACAAAGTACTACATGGTTCCCTTGGCTTTCCTCGTGTGCAGGGTAGTCGTTGAACTTCCAGGTGTGGCTATACCTGTGACTGAGGATATTCACGTAGCATCTCTCTTGGATATTAATTCTTTTATACTCAATGAGGTAAAAGAGAAGACTGAAACTTTTTAAAAGGCAGTTGAAGACTTTCCTATATTGACTGTGCTTGGAAGGTTTTTTTTTTTCCCAAAGAGAAGTTTCTGGTACCAAGCAAGTAAGGAGATGTGGTTGACTGCTTTCCTATGCTGACTGCACACATAGGGGCTCTCTCCATTATCAACATTTTCCCCACAAAATTGTTAAATTGCTTATTATTAGGATCATTCAACAACAATGGGCCGGCGCCGCGGCTCAGTAGGCTAATCCTCGCCTGCGGCGCCGGCACACTGGGTTCTAGTCCCTGTTGGGGCACCGGATTCTGTCCCGGTTGCCCCTCTTCCAGGCCAGCTCTCTGCTGTGGCTAGGGAGTGCAGTGGAGGATGGCCCAAGTGCTTGGGCCCTGCACCCCATGGGAGACAAGGAGAAGCACCTGGCTCCTGCCTTTGGATAGGTGCAGTGCGCCGGCCGCAGCGCGCTGGCCGCAGCGGCCACTGGAGGGTGAACCAACGGCAAAGGAAGACCTTTCTCTCTGTCTCTCTCTCTCCCACTGTCCACTCTGCCTGTCAAAAAAAAAAAAAAAAAAAAAAAAAAAAAAAAAAAAAAAAAAACAGCAACCCAACAACAAAAAGATGAGCCTGAGAAATGAACTGAGGAGATGTCTAGAATGTCCTTAGCTATGTTGCCTGCATACTTGGCTGGTACTACTACAACTGCACTAACAGCATAAATTAGTATCAATATATTTTTAAAGATTTATTTATTTATTTGAAAGGCAGAGTTAGAGCGAGATCTTTCATCCACTGCCTCACTCTGCAATTGGCCACAGTGGGCAGGCTGGGCCAGACCAAAGCCAGGAGCCCAGAATACCATTCAGGTATCCCACCTGGGTATTGGGGCCCTTGGACTTGGGTCATTCTCTACTACCTTCCCCAGCAAACCAGCAGGGAGCTAGATCAGAAATGGAGCCATCGGGACTTGAACTGGCACCAATATGGGATGCTGGCATTGCAGGCAGCATCTTAACCCACTGCACCATGCCAGCACCAGTATCAATCTTTTTATGCACAAGTAGGAGCTGCAGCTTTTCTCTTTCTCTCTCCTGCACACTACATTCACAATGTAGTAACTTGCTTGAGCTAAATTGAATTTAACCTGTGAGAAGAGGCTTTCCAACGTAGCTGCACTTGTTAGGCCTGTCTCTGATATAAATTCTGAAGAATACGGTTTTATATCTTACTGAAAGCTTCCATGCAGTTACTACATTTGTATAGTCATTCCCTGCCATGAATTTGCTGTTGCTAATGAGAGCAGAGCTCTGAATGCAAGTGCCCCACATTTCAAACACTTATGAGTACTTTGTAAAATATGAACATGGTTGGTACAGGAAAGAATATTGCAAACTTTTGCTTAAGGCTAGGCCTTACGTCCCGCCTTTGTAAGGTCTTTCTCTGTGAAGAGAACATTCTGGTTCTCAAAGAGGGGTGGAGCTCTGGGTAGGGGCTTTCTCATGTTAACACATTTGTAGGGCCATTTGAAGGTATGGATGTACTTGAACTTTATCAAAATGAATACAAAGGTAAAATCCTTCCCATGTTCACAATGCACTTGAGAATTTTTAACTGTTCTGAAGTTTTTTGGTAGGGATAAAGAGTTTTTTCTCTTTGAATGCCTTTCCATACGCTGTACATTTTTTCAGGTGTCTCTTCGGT